CCCCCCCCCCCCCGCATATTACAAAACACTCCATCCTGCTGTGCCCCTCGATTCCCCTTACCTGAAAGCCTACCCCTTCTGGCTTGACGACAAGAGCTGGCCACCACGGGAACCCGTGCAAGCGAGCCCACACGATTTCCGACGTAGAGGAGCAGCGAACGTGCAGCGCCTGGTTGGTGGCGAGGTCCTTCGAGTGTGTTGTGTGTTTCGGACGAGTGGGATGCAATGGGTTGAAAAGAAACCGAACGGGGCGAGGGCAATGGGTAGGGGAACGGAGTGATATGGAGCGCTAGCTAGAGGTTTGTTCCCGCACATGCCATGTTTGGTGGTACAGGCTGTCGTCGATATCGAGAAACGGTAAAATATTAGTTGGTCAGCTCGTCGGGGTGGAGACACGAGCCTGGTTTGCGGAGTGGTCTAACGCGTGACAACAAGACCGGAGAGCTGCAACAGGAAAGGAAATGTTCGGTGAGGTCAGCCAATCCCGCCCCTCTCCTGCACAATGTTCACCCTGCCAAAAAAACTACACAATCCTCGCATACAATTTCGGCACCAGCGGGTCGAACGTCCTCTATGTATGATCCCCAACGCAGGGTGCGCTTCAAGCGTTTTCCACAGCAGGCCGACACCGCTGTCTATCGCCCCCCAGTCCCCTCCTCAACACCAACGCCTACTGCTTCCTCCTCCCCTCTGTCCTACATGACACTCGTTCGGACAATGAAGAAATTCGCAAAATGCACGACCCCGCCCGAACGGCTGAAGAGGGTCCCCTCTCATCCTCGCGATCACTATTTCCTCTCTCTCTTAGGTGCCCTTCCACCAACCTGGTTAATCAAAGCCTGCTCCTGCATGTCCTGCTCTTGAAGGGCAGGGAGGACCCCTGCCGCGCTTGCGAGGAGCGAGTACACCAACGTCGCCACCCCAGCTAGAGTGCGAGCGGCGAGCATCTCCTGCCGCCACGCCTCACGAAACGCGGGGTCCGTGGATAGGGCTCCCTTCACAAAAACAGGGGGCGGGCGAAATAATCTTTCAAGGCGAACGCCTTTGGCAAGGACAACCCGCCGACAATGCGCCTACCAGTTATTCGCATAAACGTGCCACGCGTCCGCTGCCGTTCTGCAGTGCTGTAGTCAATTGCAGCGTACGTACTTCCCCGAACGCCTTCCTTATCTCACCTCAAGTCTTACGTCTCAAAAGCGAGGCTATTGTAGACTCACGGACTGGCTGTTTGGAGTGGATATTTTCCAAAAGCACGGTCGCTCAGCCCTTGGAGAACCACGGTCGGTAGACCCTTGAATCACGATTGTTGGTAGCACACTACCATGTCCCAAGGTTGACGTACGGGTTCGTGTATGGACAGCGAGCAGAACCTACCCGAGTACAACGTTTTAGTTACAAAAACATGTACTGGTAGGAGTTTCCCGCATGTCGGACTGTCAAGCAAACTCTGTCAAGGATGCGCCGGGTAATGTAGAAAATCTTCTCCACGAGTTACGTTAGGAACATTGACATGAGCCAAGACGATAATATCACAAAAGGCATGACCACGTCAAACTACATGTGCTCTGCAATGTATAGGAAAGGCATCGAAACTTTGTGAATCTCAACCAACGAGTGTTTTATCATGGTCCAACGGCGAAGGCCATCAAAGAACAACACACCTCCCTCCCCCTCCCCTCACGACACAACACACACACCTGTAGCCCCGCGGAGAGATTAGCCAATGCAATACCCTCCCTCTCCATCTCCCACCGCTTTTCCGGCTCAACATCCTCCTCCTCTTCCTCGTCCTCCTCTGCTTCTTTTGCTGCTTCGTCCATGCCGTATATCTCCCGCGCGGGGTGTTGTCGCGATACAATTACCATTGACGGCGATGACGGCGGCCTCTGATGTTGTGGCATGCGCGATGCCATACAGCACAATGGAAATTAGATGCAAGCGGAATAAGAATAAAAGGCCAACTCCAACGAAAACGAACACAAAAATTGCTAATGAACGAAAAGTAACATGCAACGGGTGTCAAAGACAAACTTATAGGATGGTAACGGCAGCGCTACGATGAGTCGGGCAATAGCCAGGGGCAGGCGGTGACGAGGATCCACACGAGCAAAAATAAGTTGCTGGCTCCCTCGAAACGACGCTCGGGATGGACCATAGCCTGTACGGTTTTCCATCGCTTTTACGAGACAGCACCGCGGCCGCTCCAACTCCTGCAAATGGTCTTCTTCAAGGCAGCATCGCACAAAGACAAACAGTCGCCTCTTCCTGGCTCTTTCGTTCTAGCTGGGGGTACCACCGCCTGCTGCCGTCTGCCATTTCAAGCGGGACATGAGACGAGCTGCACGGTGTGTGCGGGGGCAAAATACAATCACACTCACAAGTACCACCGCGAGAGGGGACCGGGGAACCCTCGGCTTCACCCCACTGGTGCAAAATATATACTGTATATGTATATCTCCGGACGCAACCGGAATGCCATATTGTACCATACCGGGGTTCCAAGTCGACCCGTTTCAGACTCACGTTGCCCTCCGTCAAACCCGCATGATCCGCTTCGGCCTTCGTCATTGTCATCGTAGGCTTTTTCGTAGACCCATCGCCCGCAACGCTTAGCGCAACTGTCGCAGCAGCAACAGCGGCTGTAGCAACAGCATTGTCCGCTTCCACCTGCTGCTCCCCTGCTCCCGGGTCTCTCCTGCCCCCCTCCTGCATGCCTTCCACGATCTCCGGGACTTCCGCATCATCATCTCCATCATCGCTATCATCCTGCGTACCGCTGGGTTTCGTCTTCTCAAACCGATCAACACCGGCAGTCTTGGAAGTGTTGCCGCCGTCGCTGCTGCCGCCGTCGCCCTTGTTGCCTCCTGAGTCTGCGGGAGTTGTCGCTGCTGCCACAGTGGGTGCAGCTGCTACTGTTGCTACCGCCGCCGCTCCCGCCGCACCCTTCAGAAAGAAAGCATCGTCGGGGCCTGTATCATCGCCAGCAGCGGGGGTTGCCTCCGTCTGCCCATCTAGGACTGGTGTCTTGTCACCATTGCCATCATCGCTCATCCCTGCTTGTTCCCGCGACTCCTCGACAGCTGCCATCTTCATCGTCGCAGAGCCCTTCTCTAGTTCCACCCCTCCTCCTTCTACTTCCATCGGACCACTGCTTGCTTCGCTCGCCACGTTGCCTGCTGCACTTCCCCCACCGGCGGCTTCTCGCGGATGGCTGATACTGCCACCAGCATCGGTGGCTGTTCCATCATCAGCTTCCTCCTTGAGCCTCGTGCAGTCCTTCTCGTCGTCTACACCGGCGGGACCAATAACCCCACCGCCTCTGAAGCCGCCCATGCGCTCTCCGGAGATGTCAGTCTTCCCTGCCTTCTCTTCCTTCACTTTGTTCAATGCCCTCACTTCCTTCGCTTCCTCGGATGCACGAGTTGCCACTGCCGGCGTCGTGGCCTTTGGCTCCGAAGCAACGGTGCGGCCGGTGGCGGTGCTGGTGTCACTGGTGCCAACGCTACTACCTTCGGCGTCGGCAGGGGCTGCACTGCTGCTGTTGCTGTTATTACTGTTGCTGTGAGCACTGTTAGCATTGCTCGCATTGAGGCCTTCGCCGCCATCGCGTGCAGTCGCTTTCTCTGAGGAGGACGCCGGTCTGACAACTCCTACTTTTCCCTCTAACGGCGTAGAATACGCGCTCAACTGTGCGCTATCGCTAGCTTGTAACCCGCCTAATCTTGCCGTATTGGTAGTACTCGTGGCAGCATCCTGTTTGTCGCCAGTCACTTGAGTCGCCTCATTGGCAGGAGTATCAGCCGTAGGCGGCTGAGAGTCGGCCTTCTCTGTCACCTTCTCTGCATCATCTCCATCGTGGAAGGCGACGCGTGCTGCTGAGGGTAAACATCCGGCCGAGCTTTCTTCCGGCGAAGCCTCCCCCACCGGCACCAGTAGCTCCGCCAAAGAGTTAGCACCAGCACCCGCGATGTCACCAGCGGCGAACACACGGGCCTCTTCTGCAACCTCCTCCCTCGCCATCTTGCTCGCGCCCTGGGTCCCCTCTCTTATGCTCTCTCCCTCCTGCCGCCCCCTCCCCGTCAACGCAGCAGCAGCAGGGGACACGGCCGCTTTAGCGGCAGCAGCTTGAGCAGCAGCGGGACTTGTCAACTCTCGACCGCCTTCTCTCTTCTTGGCAACCTTACGCTTGCCTCTCGAAGGGGCGCGCGCTGCCGCTCCGACTGCCGCCGCCGTTGGACCCCAGCCGCCTACGGCCGCAATGCCGCTGCCTACGGTAGCACTGAGAGCAGCTCTGCCGTCTTCGCCCGACGAGGCTCTCTGCTCTCGATCCTTTCCCTTTCGGCGGTCACGCCCCTGCAATTTGAGGAATGTCCAGTCGTACGGGCTGTCCCACGAGACATCCTCCCCCTCGGCGACGGCCATGCTGGACCAGTCAATCGCCAGGCTTTCCATCATGTCCCGGCTGCACGCTTCATGGGCCGGTGTTGGAAAGAAAATGAACCAAATTACGCCGGACGGACATAAGGACATAGGACGGGCGTCGGGACCACACTATCAATGTGCAGCACAAAACAATGCGGACGACAAGGGAGATGAAACGTCACCCGGCGTTCGGCCTGCAGAAAGCGAAAAGTCGTCAGTTTTCCAGGCCGACAAGCGCTTTGGGCCATCCACCGCTGTCATCACCGCCGCGCGCTTCACGCCTCACACCTCACATCTCGCACCTCGCACCTCACACTTCACACCTCACACCTCACGCCTCAGAGAGCCTGCTGTGGTGAATTATCAAAGTTATCGAGTAGCATCCTTCGAGCAAGGCCGGTCGGGCAAGCACTACAAATAGAACCGTCGAGGTATAATCACAACCTCCAAATGGCCTCCTCAGGATTGTGGTCCGGCTTCCGGACCTGCATGAAGGTATGAACGGTATGAGGTATGAAAGGTATGAAACTTATGCAAGGTATGGAACGAATGAAAGGCATGAAAGGTATGAAAGGACAACGCCGAGCCGGTAAAAATAAACGGAACAAAATCACAAATAGCCGTGGCGGAGGAAGGGCCTCACCATACAGTGCTCTTTCAAGCTGCACCGCGGGTCGGCGGAGAGCAAGGGCATCCCTCGCGGTCGCCACCTCCCTCACCCAGCCGTGCCGGTCTTTGGAGTGCCTCCCCGTCACGGTCGTGTTCCCGAGCGGCGCAACCTGGACAGCCGGCAGCAGACCCGGACAGACAGACAGACAGACAGACAGACAGACAGACAGGCAGACAGACAGACAGACAGACAGACAGACAGACAGACAGACAGACAGACAGACAGACAGACAGACAGACAGACAGACAGACAGACAGACAGACAGACAATCCGGCACAAATATAAAAGCATGGCAGCTAAGCCGAACACCATGGATATTCGTTGCAAGACAAGGCAATCTGTACGAGAAGTAGGGTTAGGGTTACAGGAGAGAACACTAAATGCATGTTACGAGAGAGAAAAGGACACAGGAATTTACAGCGAGGGAGACGAGACTGCCGGAAAAACACAGCGGTAAAAACGACGGCAGCAAACGCCGCACACGAGGGAGCGTACAACAGTCACCATCGCACAGCCAGATCATGACGGCACACGCCTCCTTTCGGCCTTCGCAGCGAGCCAGCAACCGTCTTGCCGCGAGATACGGCTAATCTTCCCACCGACCAACCTGGTGCCTCAACCACAATCTAACGGGAGCCGGCCTCAATCCCGACCCCCCCCCCCCCCCCCCCCCCCCCCCCCCCCCCCCCCCCCCCCCCCCCCCCCCCCCCCCCCCCCCCCCCCCCCCCCC